ATCTGAATAACAACCCTATTGTTATTGTTATTCAAAGGCAGCCGGCTTGCATTTTAACATACTATTTATAATATGTATATATATATTACATATATATATATATATACACACACACACGTTTTAGCATTATGCAAAACAACCTCACTTCATGGTACAGGAAGGGAGAGAAAGTACGTTTCCAGCACCCAAACCCACACCTGGACTTGAGAAGTCCTCTTCTCCTAAATCTCCCTTTCACTTCTATTCAGTTACAAGCTTCATTTCCAGCCCCGCACCCGAAAATCCACCACTGCTGTCTGGGGGACAAACAAAGGTAAGTCTTAAAGCTCTTCCCTGTGAGGGTGTTGAGGCGCTGGCACAAGGTGCCCAGAGAAGCTGTGGCTGCCCCATCCCTGGCAGTGCTCAAGGCCAGGTTGGACACAGGGGCTTGGAGCACCCTGCTCCAGTGGAAGGGGTCCCCGCTTGGAGCTGGATGAGCTTTAAGGCCCCTTCCAACCCATCCCACCCCGTGAGTCCCTGATCTGCCCCCTCGCAGCTCCCCGGGAGGTCACCGCCAGGCGGGCGAGCCCCGAGGCCCGCAGCGGGGCCGTGTGGGGGTGCCGCGGGCAGAGGAAGGACCCGAGGCCCGCGGAGGAGCCCGGGCCGGGGGCTGAGGGGAGGCCGCGGGGGTCCCGGGCCCTACCTGGCCGCTGCTGTCACCATGGCCACCACCGGAAGTGGCGGCGGAGTGCGCATGCGCCGGGTGCTCCTCCAATGGTAGGCGGCTCCGCCTCGGTACCACCCGCCGGCGGTCCGTCCGCCTGTGCCGCCCGGCCGGGGAGCGGCGGCCCCGGCCCCCGGTTCCTACAGCGGGACCGGGTTCCCCCCACCCGCCGCAGCGCTGGGGCCGAGGGTCTGCACCGACAGCGCGGGGCTCCGGCCCTTCCTTTGGTCGTCTTTGGGTTGGAAGGGACCTTAAAGCTCATCCAGCTCCAAGCAGGGACACCTCCCACTGGAGCAGCTTGCTCCAAGCCCCTGTGTCCAACCTGGCCTTGAACACTGCCAGGGATGGGGCAGCCACAGCTTCTCTGGGCACCCTGTGCCAGTGCCTCAGCACCCTCACAGGGAAGAGCTTCTGCCTAAGAGCTCATCTCAGTCTCCCCTCTGGCAGGTTAAAGCCATTCCCCTTTTTCTATCCCTACAGGCCCTTGTCCCAAGCCCCTCTCCAGGTTTCCTGCAGCCCCTTTAGGCACTGGAGCTGCTCTCAGGTCTCCCCTTAAGGAGCCTTCTCTTCTCCAGGCTGCCCCAGCCCAGCTCTCTCAGCCTGGCTCCAGAGCAGAGCTGCTCCAGCCCTCGCAGCATCTCCATGGACTCCTCTGGACTCACTCCAACAGCTCCACATCCTTCTGATGCAGGAGCTCCCAACGTCTCTCCACATGGAAGCTGAAGATGGAGAAACTCCTTGCAAAAGGACCGTGGGCAGTGCGTGGCTGTGAGCAACAACAGGAGGAGCAAAAGGCATTTTCAAAGCCATGATCGGGGGAAATCCAGTTTCTCTGTTTTCAGGTGAGTTCTGTGAGTGCTGCAGCAGTGCTATGGGACCACTTCAGTTTGTCTGTGATGAAATGGGGCTTCAATGCACTGCATGTCCTGCAGCTTTACGTCTCATTGAGGTAATGGTGCTGACAAGGGGCAATAGAGTGCCCCAGGCTGTAGCACAAACCTGAGCAGACCTGTGGAAAACCTGAGGTTCCAAAAGCCTCAATGGAATCAGTGGTGTTGGGAGTTTTTGCCTTGAGGAAGGAGAGGATGCACAGCTTCATTCCAGTGCTGGGAGCTTTTCCTCCTCTTCATTATGGTATGTGTGAGCCCAAGAGCCATTAAGAGGGAGCTGGGAATACTTTGGTGGCAAAGGCAGTTAATCCAAGAGGTCTTTCCCTGAGGAAAGCAGTGAGGTAATGGACAGCTTTTTATGACAGTTACTTGAAAGGCATTTTAATCATTATTTGTAATGAATTCACAGCTTCAGTGTAAGTTTGCCATTTGTAAGGGATCAATATTTCAGGCAAAAGGAGAAAAGGATCCAAGATCCTCCTGAAAACTCACATTCCAGAGGGTATGATGGGAATGCACTGCTCTGGCTTCAGGGCCATTGTGAAACGAGAGACTCAGTAATCTTATTTGCACAAATTATGTATTGACCAATAACATCCAGAAGCAGGGGGGGTTATGCCATGGAAGCTGTGGTCCTTTCAGTCTTATGAAAATCAGAGCTACAAAAAGCCATTTCAAACCATCCTTCCCACCAAAGCAGCAGGATGAGCTGTATCCTATAGGATTCTTCTTCTTATAGGCCAGCAGTTGCCTGAGGGCTCCTGTGGGCATTACCTGGTACATGCCAGCCTGTTTTATTCTAACAGGGAATAGTCTGTCACCACACTGGCAGGTGCTGATGGAAACCACGTGCCTGCAGTGATGGTACCAGGAGGGAGTCGCAGAGCAAAGGGTTACACTGGGATCATAATTAGAGAAGGGAATTCATTGAACTAGGGCTTGACTTTGGGGCTTTGACTGGGATCCTATTTTCTTAGGTTAACCCGGTGTAATTAGCAACAAATTCAGCTTAGAGTTAAACCTGCTGAGTGACACATTGCACATTGAACTCACTTACATGGACATGGCTTTGTTCTCAGAAGCATTAGGGGGAATCTATGCCCCTAATGGACTTCTGTTCTGGAGACCATGCAGACCCAACTGGTAAATATTGGTATAGTCTTCTACAGTTAATGGCTGCTTTTGTTAGCACTTAATCTCTCCCCTCTTCTTCCTCACTGTGTCAGGCCAGAACTGCAAAGGGCTGGAATCCTTTTAGCAGTTTAACACTCCCTTGACAAACATCCTGTTCTACTGCTGCCCTCCTGAATTGCAGGAGCTCTTTTGAGGGGGAAAACCTCCTCCAAACTCACACAACTATTTGCACTTGTGCTTGGTGACATCTGCTTTACTGCAAGCATCACAGAGTGCTCATCTACAGCCTTTTAACCCTATTCTCTAGGGCAACAATTTTGTGCTCTAGTTCTTCCAGGCTCTTTTTTTATCACCTTTTCTTCAAGGACGAGATGTAGCTTCTTCCTTAAGAAAAGCTTTGGTTGCTTACCCTAAGAGCAGAAACCTCCACTGGGTAACCAAAACCTTCCCCAGGGAAAGCATCCTTGAACTAGTTTGAACTGAAAGCTTCCAGTTTCACAGTGCCTTTGGCTGGAGAATGTAGATGTTCAAAGGGCTGTGGCTTGCTTAAAGATTCTCTTGTCTCAAAAGTACAAACTCTCCTCCCTGTTTGCATGGATTTGGTTTATAGGAGTGAATGAAAAGAGACCTGTGACAGAAAACAGATAAATAAGAGTTTCTTGGGGCTTTTTGTCTTCTTCTCCTGTGCAGCTCTTTGTGGATAATCATTTGTGTCCCTTCCAAGCAGTGGATTCAAGGAGATGATCATAATCTTTGCTCCACTTATAGTTCTAGTTTGGAACTGGGCTCTGACTCAGGGACATCAGACTCCTCTCGCTGGACCCCTGGTCACTCCTTTGAGCTCCTCTGTCTGCTGTACATTCAGGTCACTGCATTCACAGGGGGTTTTGCATCACCTGAATCGGTTTTGGGGTTTCTTGAGTTAGTTTCTCTAAGGTTTGGTTCCAGCTGGTTGTAAGTAGTGCCTTCTCCAGCCCCTGCACTGCAGCATTTCCAGGCTCAGTATGACACCAGTGTAGACAGACTTAGTGAAACTGCATTTGTGATGTCTGATCGTGCCGCAAATCCCCAGTCATTGCAGCTAACCCAAAAGCAGGGGAAGAGGGAGCAATATCCTCTATATAGATGCTCAAACACACACCACAGCCATTTTAACTGCTGTGACAGGAGATAGTGATGCTTTGTCACACACAGAAATGGAGATGTGGCAAAGCTGAGGTATCGTTTCCATAAAGGTACTAATTGTGGTTGTTTTAATTGCTGAGGGGACAGCTTAAGCTCTGTGTATAGAAGTATCTCCTACCTGCACCTTCACTGATCTCAGGATATCCAGCCCTGTCCTTTCCTGCTGCCTTCCCTCGATGGTTTAGCAGGTAAGGGCTGAGGGCTGGGCCCCTAAGAGCTGTAAAGCAGCAAGAAGTCATGCAGAGAAATGTATACCCTGCCCCTCTTCTGGTATTTGGTGGGTTAGGAAAGAGTTAAATGACAACAGAGGGAGAGGCTGTGCTATTGTTCAGGCATCCCTGGGTTCAGGGTGGCTGATCTCTATTCCCGGATCTGCCTCTGGCTTCCTGCATGACCTTGGACCGGTCCCTTACCTTTTCTTTTCCTTAGCTCTCAGATTATAACATGGAAATCATTCCTCTTCCTGTGGTGCCTCCTTCCTTGTGGCTTTCAGGGTGGCTGAGATTCTCTGGTGGGAGATGATGGGAGGAGGAGAACACGTTTCCACTGCAGATCTACTTACACAGGGGGTAGCAATTTTGGGGTATGTCCTTGTTCATTCAGAGCTCGGGCTGTGCACGTGGGGATATTTGGGGTTATTTTAGTAGGCAAACCTGTGGTGAAAGTCACATTCCATTTGTCGCTGCTGCAGCAGCCCCAGAGAGCAATGCCAGCTGCAGTGAGCCCTTTCTTCACTAGATGGTGCTTTTGACCAAAGGTTTGAACAACCGCAGTTCTTTTCCACACAGAATTCCCTAATTTTCCTTCCCCAGTCTCCATTCCTTCCCCTTCTTCCTTCTGTGCTTTAACACTACTGGGGACACTTCGCGATGCTGGCTATTGAGCAAGGCTAATGTGGTGGTAACACAGGTTCCGAGCCACCCATACCCACCAGCCAAGCTCGTCTTCTGGGCTCTGGGTTTTGAAGCATAGATCAGTGCTGCTGGGCTGTGGCAGGGAATTGAATTCTTTCCGTGTTTTCTATTCCCATAAGGAAAAGGCTTCAAAGAGCAGGTCCCCTCCCCCTCCCTGCTGGTGAAGGGCATTTAGGGAAGCTGGGAAAAGAAAACCCAGCTCTGACAGATGCATTTCTTTAACAAACCGCTGCTTTTCCCTACCTTAGCTGAAGGTTGGTTGTTTCTTTTTAAAGGGAATTGCTGCTTTTAGATCCATCTTTGTATTCAGGAGACAGTTACCTAGCCAAGGTCATTGCTGCTGCATGCCAGCATCCCGCAGCGAGCCAGCCTCCTCTTCCTTGAATGAGCACCGGTTTCACTGAGGTTTCCCTAAGTAAAGAATGGGATAGGCTTGAATCTGCCAGTGCAAGGTCCCAAGTCAGTGTGGGGTAAGGAAAGCCAGAACAGCCTTTTTCTTGTATAAAGACAGCAGAGGAGATGAATGAAATCGTAATCAAACATTTCCTGTGCAGACATGCACAGCAATGGGTTATGAAGATACCCATCCTGAGCTGGGCCTGCCTTGAGGCTCTCCTTGCCCCCCTGCCACTCATCTGTAGGGATGAGTTGTGTGTTCACATCCCTGCAGCCTTTGTGCCTTGCAAGCTATAAAGCTGCATCCAGGCTCCCATTGGGAAGACTTGCGAGGTTACATCCCTTACAGCTTCCCTCCCCATGGAATTTCACCACCATTAATGAATGGGGCTGGATTGCTGCTCTGAGGCCAGTCAGCCATGCACAGATTTATAGTCTGAGGCCAGAAGAGATGATGCTGCTGCCTGTGGCACTGCACCAGTGACAGTGATTTCATGTGTGTGCTGACAAGCCCACAAGGCCAGTGCCTTCACGTGCTGCACGTTATGGCAGTGACATCCCCACAGCAGGGACATGAGCAGCGCTAAACTGGAGCGTGACACAAAACTCCTCTCAGGACTGGGAGCTGACAGTGATTTCTTTGTCATTCCCCTGTTGTCACCATCCCACTGCACATACATTTGTTCATCGTTAGCAAGATATTGCTGATGACTAAAACTTGGGTCTGCATCACAGAGAAACCGTTTGAAGGAGCAGCCCAGAACGGCGGGGTTCAAACTAGGAAGAAGTGGGGACAGTGCTTTTCCTCACATCTATTAGATATGGAGAGCAAACCAGTCTCCCAATCCCTCCAGGCTGAGAGGGAATTGCATCACTGGTGTGTGTAGATAGAAATTCTTTTTCCCTCTGAAATGTGCTTGTTTTATTGTTTTTCCTCATTGGAATTTGCCAGCGTGTCCCAGATGATGTGGCTCTGCAATTGAAAAGCAGCATACCTGTGTGGGGGAGAGAATGAGTAGTTTTCACTTTGCAATCTGGCTCTTCCCTCCTCCCTTTTCCCCACATCCCCATGTGTTATGGAGCCAGCTGCTCCCAGAATAGTTTGGGAATGAAATGTCACCGTTTGAAACTGGTGAGTCACACTCTTTTCTATGTGGGGGGGAAGTTGAATATGAAATCTTGCGGTGTGGCAGAGCATCTCCTGGTGAGTACAGAGAGGTTTTTCAACCACAGACTCCCTCATGATGGAGTTGAGGGGTTGCAATAAAGGCTCCTGGGTGTGTCGGTGCTGCATCTCAAAACCCTCTCTGCAAACTCCAGTTGTCTTCCCTAACGTGCCCACTGCAGCTGGATCCTTGTGTCTCCCCCGGCAGGGCTGGGTTGTATCTGTCTGGCAGCACACCTCCAGTGACTCTGGTAATTAAGTCTCCCCGCACTGCTGTGAGATGTAATTACAGTGAGACCTGACTTCAGCAACCACTCCAGGGACTAAAACATTCTTTACCAGAGCAGGGAGGAGCAGAATGGTACTGAATGCACTTTTGGGATGTCTTAGGGGAAGTTTATTAAAGAAAGGGGGTTATTAACCTGTTTTCTTCTCTGTGTATCCCAATATTAGGATGATGCCTTTAGTATCCTGGGTGTTAATAGAATAAGGGGGTTGGGTTTTTTCCTTCCTACTTGAAATCTTTTGTCTCTTAACAGAGATTGCTATTAAAAAGTGTCAGTTGGTGCAAATGGTGGCAATGGACTTGCAAAATGAGCTATTGTTTATTAGAAGCTGGGTAGTTGTCCCTCCCTGCCCAAATACAATTTGCAGTGAAAAGGCAACATTCAGGATTCCAGCTCTAAAGTATCATAACCATCAATTTCCATGACCCTACTTTGCAGCTCCGCTTAGTAGGTACCAAGAATCATGTATCTTGAAGTAAAGTTAAGGTTTTAACAGGTTGTCAAAAAAGGTGGTAAATGCTCCAGCCCTGGCAGTGTTCAAGGCCTGGTTGGATGGGGCTTGGAGCCACGGGCTCTAGTGGAAGGTGTCCCTGCCCATGGCAGGGGGTTGGAACTGGATGATCTTAAAGTCCTTTCCAACCCAACCCATTTTATGATTCTATGGAAGTACCATAGTAGTAAACTTCTGTTTCAGGTTGCACTATCCCAAGTGGTGGCCACAGAGTTGTGCCACCCATTTTGCAGTCTCTGTTTCAACAGTATTGATTTCCAGCTGAAGGATGGGAAGAAGCTGGCAATGGTAATGTAAATAGCCCCAGTATGGGCTGGCAGCCCTCCTCTTGAGTCCCACCTTCAGTGACATTCTGAATACATGCTGTGAGTAAAACTCCCACATTGCAAGATAACTGGGTGGGGATTTTGCAAGCAGAAGCCCCAGGGGGTTGATGCCATCTCTCTCTGTTTTATTTGGAAGCCTGAGCTAGTAGTGAGGTTTTATGAAGTGAGCATTTCTATCTCAAGTTTTAGATAGCGTTAACTACAAACCCACATGCTTTATTGTCACTGGGATTAACAAAAATAATCTCTGTCTGTTAGAATTCGCTGCAGAGCCTAAGATTTTGTTTAATACAAATAACCTCAGGGACAACCTTGGGAAGCCCAAGTCTAAGGGCCAATCCACATTCCTTTTTCTCTACTTATCTGCCCCTCTCTTTTCTCTGTTGTCTCATTGTTGCCCTTTTTTCTTAACTCTGTTTCTGGGATTTGGTTTGCACTGTGGGTCTGCAAAGAGCTGAACCACAGCACTGCAGGAGCTGGAAGTGGTGACAGCAGTGGAGGAGTCAGCCAAGGAACAAGGTAAGAAAAGGGCACTCCTGTGGGGACCCGTTATGCCATCAAGTTGGAACTTCCAGCCTCTCCAAAGCAGTAAAAAAGGATGTGAATGCCAGTGGATCATCAGTTCTGAAGCTTAATGACAGGCCATTGCTTGATACTGTCTTCTTAGCCTCTGTTCTAGCATAGGTGCCTGCCTGGTCTGTTTACCTCCCCATATCCCACACAGCGATTCCCTTTAGCTTGCAGTTTCCTGCAGATAACTCCCAAGATAACGCTGGGCATGATCAGTACAAATACTCCCTATGGACAAAATAGCTTATTTGATTTTGAATGAGGTTAGTGTGATTTCAAATTGAGTATTCAAAGAGGAATTTACTGAGTATCCAACTCCCTGAAGTACTGAATTCAGTAAGGGTTCAAAGTTTCCAAGCAGGTGATGATTTCTTTAATGGATTTTTGCCCAAATGGAAGGATTTTGCCTCATCACCTTCAATGGGATTTCCCAGGGTGCCAGAGACCACACATCCTCCTAGACCTTGGCAAAACTGATGTATAAGGTGTGGAAGCCTTCCTAACATGAAGAAGCATTTCAGTTCATTCAGGCCAAGATTACTACTGATCTGTCTGGGGGAAAAAAACATAACAAAAGTTAAAAACAAGGGCAACCAAAATGACATTGGACATTCATTAGTGAAGCATTGTCAGAACACAATAGAAGAACAGACAAAAGCCAGGCCACATTCTGTGGTATTTCCTAAAGGGCTCCCTCTGGCACATGGTTATTCCCTGCCAATCCTTTTGTATTGTTTTTGATAATGAAGAGAAGCTGAACAGATGATTGTTGCATTGTCCACTAAGTGATTCATTTACATTAAATAGTGCCTCAAAAGTAGGCTTTGGGTGGACTTTTTTTTTTAGTCACTTCAGTTGTTTATTTGGACAGTTTAATTGCCATCTTTTAACTCTCCACTGTACATAATTATTTCCTGATTGCTTCAGCTAAATTACCCAGGGTGTAACTCCTCAGTGGTCCAACAAGCCCGGACTTAAGCAGCAGCATCTCTGCATTTTCAAAGATGCTTAACTCTGAACGTCCACCTCTAGAACACTGCTCCCGATCTGGGAAGGTGATGAGGTTTTGCATGTCCTCCAGCCCTACCTCTGAAAGTTGGGTTGTGAAGCACAAACTTGGCTGCGCAAGCCCTCACAGTTCCATTGATTTCCTCCTTAGTCTCTCAACTCTGCTGCGTGTCTGCACCAAGGTTTGTGTATTAACCCAGGACTTCCATTACAATGACAGGCTTTTCATCCTCAAAAAGTATGGTTTGGTTTTGCAGGATGTGACACTTGTGGCAGTGTGCCTGAGGGCATACTGACACTACTGCAGTTAGAAGAACTTCAGTGTTAAGAAGCTATTTACCCCCAAATCCACATCCAGAACTGCAGGTCCACTAATATGGATGTACTAATGACTGGGGGAGAATGACACACAGGCTTTTTGATGGTTGACAAATCTAAGGAAATCAACACTCCTTTGGCCTCTCCATTTCCCCTTGTCTGAGAAGATGCATGACTTTGCCTCTGTTGAATAGCTGTAGTTACATCTCAAAAGCCCTGATTTCCTAGTTATACTCTGTTCCCTATTGGATGTACCACAAGGAGAGGTTCAGTGCAGGCTCTTGTTTCTGCCTGTATGAAACAGTAGAGTCTGGGGCAAGGCAGCAAATAGTGAAGCAGAGAGGGGAAGGGAACAGTCCCGATAGTGTTGAGTTGTTCATGTAATATGGCCAAGGTTTAAATCTTCCAATGCCAGAGCAAAGCAGTCTGACATTTTCACAGTCCCTTCTCCTTCCAGTTAGGAAAACCATTACATTTCTGTTACCCTGCTCTGTGATTAAAGCAAACCCTCCAGCCCTTTGGATCAAACTGAGTTTTAGCCTTTTTTGGGGGGTTATATGGCATCTTCATAAAGCCAGCTGCAGCTCAGCAGACACACAAATAAAACCAGCCCTCCCTGTGCATAAAACCACAAAGTCTTGCTAGGATTCCCCCCCCCCTCCCGCCTTCCACTTTAACCCTCCAGCATTGCTCTCCTTGTATTCTTGCTCTCCCAGGAGTCCGCATAGCTCTGTGTTTAGTGGCAGGCGATGAAATCAAGCCGTGCATTAGCAGCTCTGTAATAGCTTTGCTCAGTGGAACCCAACTTCCTTCATTAATCCAGAAAATGAGACTTGTTTTCGTACATTTGAGAAGCTAATTATTTAAGTGCTGGGAATTAAGGCTCATCAGATCCTGGAGCCTGATTTTGGTTCTGCTTCCCAGGGGATGGAAGGAGATGGAGGGAAGCTGGTTTTGCACAGGTGTGTGATATGGTACTTGCAGCAGGGAATGACGGTGTGCAGATCCTCATCTACTTTAGGCATAAAAGCCCCTCTCTTTGTGCACCCCTTTTCATCCAGACATCACCCAGCGGTTCTTGCCATCCAAACAGATCTTTTTAAGTCACCACTAATAAAATTACTTTATAGCTTTCCTATTTTTAGTGCATGAAAAGATGTGCCCCTGGTGTAGTTGTCCCAGCCTGAAGATTTTGCAATAACACAATAATGCCTTGTCTCAGCTGGGTTTTGGAGAGGCAAACGAGCTCTCACCCATTATCCTTCTACAATCAGTTATTCTTCAGCCTTACCTTTGATCACCATATTCAGAGGGAGGTTTAGATAGAACAGCCCTACCTAACCTAGCAAGGGACCTTCCAGTGGGAAGCAGAAGATGAACTGGGTGAAACCCCGCCTCGTCTGTAGGAAACCACAGATGAGGGCAGATCTGTTGTTCTAAACCAAGTTTTTACAACAGAATGCCTTTCAACAGTAGACGGGTGCTTTTGACATTCTTCCCAGAAAATGACAGAGAACCTCCTGATGCTGGTTGCCAATAACTATATGCTAAAGAACAGGCATTTGGTTCCGATAGTGTCACTGGACGGATCCACTCTTAATTACAAGCAGCTTGCCAAGAACAAAGCTTTCATTTTTATTGAGATAGCCAATGTCCTGTGTTCTCTTCAGAGACTGAGGGAGCAAACATTTCTGTGTGTTCGGTTGAAGCCAGATGTTAAAGTATTGTCTGGATGTAATTGACTTGACAAATAGCAGGAGTGACATTTTAGCTCCATTTAAGTCAGTGGCAAAATTCCTGTTGAGTTCAACTGGGGCCAAGATTTGATCCTATGACAGTGCTGATGGGGAGACTTAACAAATGATCTTCACAAAAGTTAAGTGCAGGCATTCTGTTTTTCTAGGACTCTTTTCAACCTATGGAATTCTGCGCGCTACTTTGAAGAGGGCTGCAAAAGATCACAAAGACAAGGAAGCTTATTGTCAGTAGATTTAAATGAGCTATCCAGGGGTCTGTGATTCCAAGGGAAAACTTCAGGAGTTGATTATAAAGTTGTAAGTCAGCTCAATCCATTAAAATCCACCCATCTTTGTAATCCTTGGACTGACAAAACATCCTTCTGGCAGGACCTGTGCAGCTGAACTAACTCTGTCACTGAATATTGTGGATTCAAGATGCTGCTCTGTCCCCTGTGCTGGGAAATCCATGTGGAAACGTCTAACCTGGCACTGGATACCAATGGACTGGGCTGGAAACTAAACCTTTGCTTTAGAGACGCTGGAGTAGCTGCGACCATACAACCCATTCAGTTTTGTAGCAAGGTCATTCCTTTGTCCCCAGGATAAATGAGCAGGTACACAGTGTTCTCCCCAGACTGTGAGGTGTCTGAAGTGTCTCAGATGAGCTTTATTGGGAACTAAAGGCAATCAGCTTCAGGCAGAATCATGCAACAGATTCTACCCATGATATCTCCAGAGGTTTAAGCCCTGCGGTCAGACAGGTCATACAACCTGATGTGCTTTAAAGGCTTTGGGTTAAGTAATGGTACTACTACTTGGATGGAACTTCATAATGCTTAGATGAGAAAAGGCTTGAGCTAGGAAAAAAAGATCACCAAGGATTTAAAAATAGAGTAATTTAAAAATGGTAACAGTGATCTATTTAGGATTTCAAACATTTTTCCATGTAGATTTTGGTAAGCAGAGTCGTTCTGTAACTTCTTGCCATTTACATTGTGGGAGAATTTGTCTTTTTTAGAGTGCCTGAAAATACTAAAAGATGAAATGAGCTCCATACCTGTAGGCCTGGGTCCAGGGGAAGCCAAATAGGAGAGAGTGTTAAAGTCCGGCATCTACCACAGTATATCCAAGCTGTGCTTCTCTCCTGCTTAGGGGCTTACTTTGATTGGTCTGCCAAAAGCAGGATGACACTTAAGTAATACTACTTTATGGCAACATATTCATAGAATCCCAGGCTGGTTTGGGTTGGAAGGGACCTTAAAGCTCATCCAGTTCCAACGCCATGCCACAGGCAGGGACACCTCCCACTAGATGCTCCAAGCCCCTGTGTCCAACCTGGCCTTGAACACTGCCAGGGATGGGGCAGCCACAGCTTCTCTGGACACCCTGTGCCAGCGCCTCAGCACCCTCCCAGGGAAGAGCTTCTGCCTAAGAGCTCATCTCAGTCTCCCCTCTGGCAGGTTAAAGCCATTCCCCTTTTCCTATCCCTACAGGCCCTTGTCCAAAGCCCCTCTCCAGGTTTCTTGTCAGCCCCTTTAGGCACTGGAGCTGCTCCAAGATCTCCCTGGAGCCTTCTCTTCTCCAGGCTGAACAATGTCCAACTCAGCCTGAATTTCAGATCTACCAAGCATGTGCAGAGTTAAGAACTTTTCAAGCTGTTCAATCCTTCATTCCAAACCAGCAAGCAGTGCAAGCTCCTGAAGAGACACCTTCAAATCCACTTTTGGAACCAGGGTCTTCAGCTTCTTGTTCGTTCAAACTTAAGACAGCTCCACTTGTAATCCAAGTTTATGTGAGGAATCCTAGCTGTATCCTTGATCTTGCTCACACCTCTAATCAAAGGGAAAGGTTCACGTTTACCTGAGAACTAAATTGGACATTTTAACACATATTATATGGAAAAGTATGCCCAAGTGATGAAGTAAGAATTGATTCATGGCTGTGCAGCAGAGTCTAGAAGTGCCATTTTGGGATGACATGGATCGAAGATGCGGTTACTTTGCTTTTCCATATGAAGAACACTGCTTCTTCCCAGATGAGCTGTCATGTAACGTAGATGACTCTCTGGAGGAAGAGTTTGCTGCACATTTGCAGTATGTTTTAGCTACTATCAACATTTATATTCCATTGGCATTTGAGCATAAGCACTGATTAGCATAATCATCAATGCTTTAATGTGAAAAATTCCTCCAGGAGACACAGGAGGGATTGAAACTGTTCCCTTCCCCCAGAGGCAAGTCCTTTCCCAAGCTGGCTGCTGCACCAAAAGGTTTCATTCTAGAAACATTCCCAAGAGTAAATGAAACTAGAGCAAAACCTGTAAATTCTTGTGCCTGTGTGTGGAGTAAGCAGGCCCTGATATAACAATTACTAGGTGACAAAATGTTGTCACTATTTCCCAGCCCTGTGTTGTTTTGACTGCTGCTCTGTGCTGTTGTGTCACCTTTACTGTGTGGGCTGGAACAATCCAGGAGTGTTTTAAAGGCCAAAGTTTTATACTTCAGAGGAAAGATTCTGGTGTCTTCACAAGATAGAAAGCAAAGGGTTTCATGGCACTGCCCTCTTCTAGAGCTTGCCTCAAGCTCCCAAGTCAGGAGCTGGTCTCAAAATATCTCCAGAGCCACTTTTCTACATTATTTTAGAGTGGATTTTTACTCTGGTTCTAAAATGATTCACTGACAAGAACTTCAGCTTGGATTCCTGGCTTAAAGAGTCTCCTCATTATGGAAAATAAGGAAAACTTTGAGGGAACTTAAAAGTTTGAAAGGTAACATTCATACGTTGGAAACCTCCTCTTTAGAACTGATCTTTAAATCTCTTACCTTTCTGCTTTTAGGAGGTGAATTTGGGCCTCAGCTCCCATTGACAGATGTGGTCAAGGATGGGTGTCTTGCACATGGGTTGATGAGGTCTCTAAGAATGCTTATCACATCATCATCAGGTCTTCAAGAAGTGGACCACGAAACCTCTAGGGAGCAAGAACAGTTAAATGTTGTAGTTGTTCTTGAAATGGCCAGAGAGAAAAATGAGTATTTTTCCAAATTAAATATTTCTTTGGGAGGGAAACAGTACCAAAAGCAGGTATTTCTGCAACCATTTGGGTTTATAGACTCACAGCTCTTGTTCTTTCTGTGTAAGACACCACACCCTGCACTGAGTAAACGCGGGGACTCTGCAAGACAGAGTAGCATAGAAACCTGTGTGAACATTTGGGGATGTGCAGGGCACTGAACATGCGCATTGGCTTTTTGGTCTCCTGGGTTCTTTTTCAGAGAGATGGACTTAAATTTAATTGGCAGAAATTCTCTCTTTTATCTTTATCTCTTGTTTTGATGTGGTAGCCATGGAGAAAAGCCTGAGATTAGTAACAGTAGGTTGTTGCAGAATAAGAATAACTCTCTACTTGGATTTAGACTGTAGTAATATTGGGGATTGTGTTTAACTGGAAATACTCAGATCCCAGTGAATAAATACCAGATGCTGTTACGACATTATTCGTCCACCTTGTACTAAATCTGGTAATCTTTAGCTTTATTCTGAGGGGTGTTTAAGTGGCTTTCACAGGGCTTTTTCTCAGAGAATCTAGGAAGAGACTGAGTGGCTTTTGGGGTGACATGGGCTTAGAAAGAGAGATAACAGTAGGAACAAAGCCACCAGTCCTTGCTCTTCTTTGCTATGGATGAATCTCTCTGACCACCAGGGTTTAGTTTCCCTAATGAAACCATCTGGTATATTACTTAGTTTGCCTCTCCTCAGCATCCCAGCATGTTTTGCAGTGTTCCTTTATAAAACAAGTTTACATTTTTGAGCCATATACAAACCAGAGCTCTTCCAGTGTATTTAGGAGGAAAGGTATCTCCTCTGCACTTGCTGGGATGACATTCTGGATGGCAGAGACACACGCAGAGATAATATCACGTATTGTTAAGCTCTACCAGTCAGTGTGTTTTTACAACATAGAACTTGTTTCCAAATGATCACAGCTATGTTTCTGGTGGGGAAACCAGGCATGGATGACTAGCTCATTTTAAGGCTACAGCAAAAAGGCTGCTTGTCAGAGACCCCAAACTTGAAGACTGAATGAAAACTTGCTTTGATGCCTCTTTTGTATCTGGATGAGAAAGATCCAAAAAACCCTTTTCATGAATTGTAGCAGGTGATGTCAGAACACAAACATGACTTCCATCTATTTCTTCCAAGAAGATAAAAAATGAGTCATTTAATTAGTAAATGTCAAAGATCTGTATTTTCCTGCTGTTTTTTTCATTGTTGAAGATCTGGTAGATGCGAAGATCAAGGTTATTAAAACCAGTTTATGACATTTCTTAGGTGAGACACTCTTTCAAGTAAGTCTGCTGCAGGTTTGGTGTTGTCAGGGGCCGACAAGGAATCTGGAAAGGGACTTTTGGCAAGGGCCCATAGTGATAGTTCAGAGGGGTGGCTTTAAACTGACAGAGGGGAAATTAAATCATGCAGTGGTAC